GTTTGGATATTTGTGGGAATAATGAATAAGCAGAGATTTGACACTAGAGCAGGGAAATGGCATTGATTGGATTGGTCTTTAGAGAGCCAGCATCAACCTGATAGGCTGAAGGACCCCTTTTTGTTTGGTAATGATTCCATGACCCCATGGCACAGGCTTCTGATTTGAATTCTTAACTCTCTTTTTCCCTTTATTGATGCGACCAGACTTATTTGAGCATTTTTGTCACTTTCTGTCCAAATTGTTATTTCACTTCACTGCTCCAGCATACTGTTACACTACCATTCCTGGCATAGATTCCTCCTTAAATTTACTCAATGTCCTGGCATCCACCACCATCTGGAGTAGTGAATTCCACAGATTCATGGCCCATTCGAAGAAGTAATTGCCTCCTCATCTCTGTTTAAATCTGCCATTCCATGCCCTAACACTATGACATTTCATTCTAGGTTGCCCTGCAAGGCATAAACATCCTGTCTACATCTATTTTGTTAATGCCCCTTTAGCATCTTATATACCCGCCTTAGACAGAAATCATAGAATCCCTACTGTGTAGAAACCAACCCTCTGAAGGGCATCCCACCAGGCACACCTCTACCCTATTCCTGTAACCCTGCATTTCCCTTGGCTGATCCACCTAGCTTACACATCCTTGCATGGCCAGTCCACTTAACCTGCCCGTCTTTGGATTAGGGAAAGAAACTGGAGAACTCAAAGGAACCCCACACAGACAGCAGGAGAATTGTCCACACAGTTGCCCAAGGCTGGAATCAAACCATCGATCCTTGGTGTTATGAGGTGGTAGTGCTAACCACCGAGCTACTATTCCACAGCCATGATTTCCTTTCTGATCTGCAGCCATATCCACTGTGTGCTGTACTTGTGGACTCCCTTGTTCTTTGAGTGATCCTGATGCTGCTCATTATCTGTCAGCTGGTGTACTCCACACATTCATGCATGCATGATCTATATAAAAAAAAATTCTTAAACTTCACACAAGCACCAAACCAACAATGCTGAAAGTTGAAAAAGCTCAGCAGGTCTGGCAGCATCTGTTGAGAGGAATCAAAGTTAATGTTGAATCGGATTTTGGCACAGATGCTGCCAGACCTGCTGAGCTTACCCAGCAATTTCTGTTTTTGTTTCTGATTTATAGTTTCAATAGTTCTTTTGGTTTTTAAACTTTGAAACTTGTTGGTTTGATGCCTCCAGGGAGACAGTTGCCTAGCGATATTACTGCGGTTAATCCAGAGACCCAACTAATGTTCTGGAGACCTGGGTTCAAGTTCCATCATGGCAGATGGTGGAATTAGTACTCAATTAAAAAAAAAAATCTGGAATTAAGAGTCTAATGATGACCATGAAACCATTGCCGATTATTGGAAAACCCTCCCGGTTCACTCTTCAGCTAAGAATAGCTGTCTCCTTCCCTGGTCTGGTCTTCATGTGACCCCACAGCAATGTGTTTGACACTAACTGAACCCAAGAATGGGCAATAAATATTGGCCAACTAGCGACAACCTCATCCTGAGAATAAGTGAATAAGAAAATGGTGCATTTAAATCAATCGATATCTAATTATGTCCAAAACTGGGGGATATAGCTAGGTTTTCAGAGCAGTTAGTCTTATTAGCTAGAACCAACTTAGTGCCCTGTAATAGCTCAGGAATCCTGACTGGAAAGGAACATTGTTTATTCCTGAACACCGGAATAGCCATTACCTGCAACATGCATAGGCTAGATCCAGCTAGGGGACAGACAGTTTCACAGACCCATCCCTTGGTCTGCTTTTTGTGTAAAAAATTGGGTCTGTTGTTTTTTTAAAATATATTTCCTAATCAACCTGTGCAGAAATGTTGCAACTCCCTCTGGAACAGGTGGGACTTAAACCCAGGCCACTTGGTTCAGACGTAAGGACACTACCACTACACTACAAGAGATCTCCCTTGTTCTGCTTCACTTTTCTTTTCATCTCAAAGCCAGAAGAGCTATCACACAACTGAACGACTTTCCCACCATCAAAATTACCGTGATTCCTTTTTCCATTTTTTTTCCCCCTTTTGAAACACCAAACACCACCAATAAAACACCCGTGTGGCTAATCAAATAAACAAAGAACAAAGAACAAAGAAAATTACAGCACAGGAACAGGCCCTTCGGCCCTCCAAGCCTATGCCGATCCAGATCCTCTATCTAACCTGTTGCCTATTTTCCAAGGATCTGTATCCGTCTGCTCCCTGTCCATTCATGTATCTGTCTAGACACATCTTAAATGACGCTATCGTGCCCGCCTCTACCACCTCCGCTGGCAACGCGTTCCAGGCACCCACTATCCTCTGTGTAAAGAACTTTCCACGCATATCTCCCTTAAACTTTTCCCCTCTCACCTTGAAATCATGACCCCTCGTAATTGAGTCCCCCACTCTGGGAAAAAGCTTCTTGCTATCCACCCTGTCTATACCTCTCATGATTTTGTAGACCTCAATCAGCTCCCCCCTCAACCTCCGTCTTTCTAATGTAAATAATCCTAATCTACTCAACCTCTCTTCATAGATAGCACCGTCCATACCAGGCAACATCCTGGTGAACCTCCTCTGCACCCTCTCCAAATCATCCAAATCCTTTTGGTGAGGTGGTGACCAGAACTGTACGCAGTATTCCAAATGTGGTCGAACCAAAGTCCTATACAACTGTAACACAACCTGCTAACTCTTGTACTCAGTACCCTGTCCGATGAATGAAAAAATGCCGTATGCCTTCTTGACCACTCTATTGACCTGCGTTGCCACCTTCAGGGTACAATGGATCTCAACATCCAGATCTCTCTGTGCATCAATTTTCCCCAGGGCTTTTCCATTTACCACATAGTTCGCTCCTGAATTGGATCTTCCAAAATGCATCACCTTGCATTTGCCTGGATTGAAGTCCATCTGCCATTTCTTCGCCCAACTCTCCAATCTATCTATATGCTGCTGCGTTCTCCGACAGTCCCCTTCACTATCTGCTACTCCACCAATCTTAGTGTCATCTGCAAACTTGCTAATCAGACCATCTATACCTTCCACCAGATCATTTATGTATATCACAAACAACAGTGGTCCCAACACGGATCACTGTGGAACATCACTGGTCACAGTTCTCCATTTTGAGAAACTCCCTTCCACTACAACTCTCTGTCTCCTGTTGCCCAGCCAGTTCTCTATCCATCTAGCTAGTACACCCTGGACCCCATGCGACTTCACTTCCTCCATCAGCCTACCATGGGGAACCTTATCAAACGCCTTAATGAAGTCCATGTATATGACATCCACAGCCCTTCCCTCATCTATCAACTTTTTCACTTCCTCAAAGAATTCTGTCAAGTTGGTAAGACATGACCTTCCCTGCACAAAACCATGCTGCCTACCACTAATAAGCCCATTTTCTTCCAAATGTAAATAGATCCTATCCCTCAGTATCTTCTCCAGCAGCTTCCCCACCACTGACGTCAGGCTCACCGGTCTATAATTACCTGGATTATCCTTGCTACCCTTCTTAAACCAGGGGACAACATTAGCAATTCTCCAGTCCTCCGGGACCTCACCCGTGCTCAAGGATGCTGCAAAGATATCTGTTAAGGCCCCAGCTATTTCGTCTCTCGCTTCCCTTAGTAACCTGGGATAGATCCCATCCGGACCTGGGGCCTTGTCCACCCTAATACCTTTTAGAATAGCCAACACTTCCCCCCTCCTTATGCCGATTTGACCTAGAGTAATCAAACATCTATCCCTAACCTCAACATCCATCATGTCCCTCTCCTCGGTGAATACCAACGCAAAGTCCTCATTAAGAATCTCACTCATTTTCTCTGACTCATCGCATAACTTCCCTCCTTTGTCCTTGAGTGGGCCAACCCTTTCTCTAGTTACCCTCTTGCTGCTTATGTACGAATAAAAGGCTTTGGGATTTTCCTTAACCCTGTTTGCTAAAGATATTTCATGACCCCTCTTAGCTCTCTTAATTCCTCGTTTCAGATTGGTCCAACTTTCCCAATATTCTTCCAACGCTTCATCTGTTTTCAGTCGCCGAGACCTTATGTATGCTTCCTTTTTCCTCTTTGCTAATCTCACAATTTCACCTATCATCCATGGTTCTCTAATCTTGCCCTTTCTATCCCTCATTTTCACAGGGACATGTCTGTCCTGCGCTCTAATCAACCTCTCTTTAAAAGCCTCCCACATATCATCTGTGGATTTACCCTCAAACAGCTGCTCCCAATCCACATTCCCCAGCTCCTGCCGAATTTTGCTATAGTTGGCCTTCCCCCAATTTAGCACTCTTCCTTTAGGACCACTGTCGTCTTTACTGTGTCTACTTTATTTTTTTAATTGCATTCTTATAAGCATTTATTTTGTGGACTAAAAAATATTTTTCTGAATTACACAAAGTTAAAATATGTTTTGTCTTGACTTTAGTTTTGATTCTTTTGACGTCACTGAAGATCAATGCTCCAGTTTTAAATACAGATTGAGATTTAGATTTTATTGTCACGTGTACTTAAGAATGGAGGTACAGGAGTACAGTGAAAAGTGTATAATGTTGCCACACACCGCACTGTCTTAGGTACCAAGGTACAAAAAACTTAGGTAATAAATACAAGAAATAAAGTTAAAAATGTTAAGCATTGCCTTCATAGAACAAGTAGAAAAATAAAGAAATAAGGTAATAGTTAACATTAAAGACCTTCTTAGTATCAACGAGAAAAGTAAAGGAATAAAGTTAAAAGTTCAGCAGTCTTTGCTGAGTGTTTGCAGGGGCCCCAATCTCCTCCACTTGGCTCGCTCTCCAGGAGACCTCTGCTGCCTGTTCTTGATGCCGCAGATACAGCGGGACCTCCCTCATCGCTCACCGTTCCCACATTGGGCTGCAATGCCATTGTCGCTGCTGTTGCTACTGAAGCTGCCATCTCCCTGATCTCCTCATGCTCCCTCTGGGCAGGATCAGTCTGGAACTATTTCAGACTACTTTTTCCTCCTTCTTTCATTCATTGCCTTTTTTTTTGCAGTGGTTTTATTTTTCATTGTTTTCTGGTTGCCTTTTGTGATTTCTATATTCACATTTTGGGGGTATCGTGCACCAAACACGATAGCTTGTTCTTATTCAAACACTCTTTGCTGTCCTTTGCTGTAACCTGTGGTTCCAAGTCTGTGCGTTTCCAAATGGGCCATCTCCAAATTAAATGCTTTTTGTTTCGTGTTGTTATGCTCATCAGCTTCCTCCGCTTTATAACCTTTGGGACCTTTCTCCTCTTGCGTGAGCGAGTAAAGGTTATGACTTCTATTGGCCTCTTTTCACTAATGGTGGCAATGCTGTTTTTGGAAACTTTTTCCCCCTTTGCTTTTGCCTGCACCTCTCAATCACCTACAGTATTGAGAAGGAAGATACTGTTAAACTGGAGACGGTTGAGAAGATGGTTTACCAGGATGTCGCTGGGAATGGAGGGTTTAAGTTTTAAGGAGAGGCTGGTTAGGCTAGGACTTTATTCACGGGAGCATAGGAGGTTGAGGGGTGATCTTACAGAGGTTTGTAAAATCACGGGTGGCATAGATAAGGTGAATGACATGTGTCTTTGCCCGAGAGTTGGGGAATTCAAGAGTAAAGGGCATTTATTTAAGGTGAAAGAAGAAAGATTTAAAATAGACAATGGGGGGCAATTTTTTTTTACAAAGAGAGTCTGTGGAATGAACTTCCAAAGGAAGTGGTGGATGCAGGTGCAGTTACAACGTTTAAAAGACATTTGGATAAGTACATGAATAGGAAAGGTTTGGAGGGATATGGGCCAAGGACAGGCAGGTGGGGCTAGTTTAGTTTGGGATTATGGTTAGCATGGACTGGTTGGACTGAAGGATCTCTTTCTTTGCTGTATGACTTAAGGGAAGCTCTGCATGCATCTTGACAAGATACTTTGGAGCCCCTGCGGACTGAGCTCTCCACTTTCTTCACAGGTGAGTGGCTTGTCCTGGGTACAATGGTGCTGCAAGGCACAAATTGATCCTTTGAGCAAAGCCTTTGCTCTTCGTTCTTATTTTGCATCCCTTACAGTATCAATGATAGCTTGTGAGAAGGGCACAATGGTAATTATGGATGATTTCATTATGCATATTGACTGGATTAATCATTTGTCAAGAAAAGCCTCGAAGAAAGGTTCATAGAGTGTCTGAGCGATTGTTTCTAGAGCAACATTTCATGGAGCCAACCAGAGAACAGGCTACTTCAGATATGATATTATGTACAAGAAAAGATTGATAAATGGTCGTCTAGTTAACTATCCTCTTGGAAGTTCTGAGGAAGGGTCACCGGACCCGAAACGTTAACTCTGTTTTCTCCTCCACAGATGCTGCCAGACCTGCTGAGCTTTTCCAGCAACTTTGTTTTTGATCGTCTTGGAAGGAATGACCACAACATGCTACAGTTTCAAATTCACATTGAAAGAGTGAATACCAGAGTTTTAGCATTGGGCAAAGGTAATTATACAGGCCTGAGGAAGGAGCTGGCCTGAGTGGACTGCGCAAAAATATTAAAGGGCAAGACAGTTGAAGATCAGTGACAAATGCATTGGGTGATGCTAAATACCTCTCAATTAAAGTATATTCCTGAGAGGAAGAGGAATTGCAAAAAGGTAAAAAATCATCCATGGCTTAAAAAGGCAAAACCTAGAGCATATGATACTGCAAAGGTTAGTGGCGCTCTGGAGTACAGGGAGAGCTTTAAATATCAGCAGAGGGTTACTAAAAGCAAAATCAAAAGAGAGAAGATGAACTTCGAAAGGAAAGTAGCAGAAAAAATAAGCACTGATACCAAAAGCATCTATATATAAAGAGGAACAGAATAGTGAAAGTAAATGTTGGCCTTTTAGAGGTTGCAAATAGTGAGGTAAATAATGGGAAACTCAAATGACAGAGGCACTAAACCAGTATTTTGTCTCTGTTATCACAGTGGAAAATAATAAGTTCTTCCCCAAAACATTTAGTTACTACAAAGGAACTTGGTGAAATTACTCTAACTAGGGAGAAGGTATTAAGTAAACTGATGAGATTAAAGGCAGGTAAGCCTGATGGCCTGTACCCTTGGATACTAAAAGAGGTGGCAGCAGAGACAGTGGATATATTAGTTATGACTTTCCAAAATTCCCTGCATTCTAGAAAGGTACCAGTGGATTGGAAACATGTTAATAGAACATCTTTATTCAAAAAAGGAGATAGACAAAAAGTGGGAAACTATGGACCAGTTAGTTAGACCACTGTAGAGGGCAAGTTGCTGGAGTCAGTCATAACTGAACACTTGGAAAAACAACACTCAATTTACCAGTGCAGCACAGTTTTGTGAAACTTGCTGGAGTTCTTTGAGGATGTAAACAACAAGATGAATAATTGAGACCTGGAGCATGTGGTAGATCTGGACTTCCAGAAGTCATTTGACAAGGTGCCTGACTGATCTAGAGGGTTAGATCCCAGGGGGTTTAAAGGTAAAGTATTGGCTTAGATAAAGGACTGGCTGAGTGACAGGAGGAGAGGATTGGGATAAATGGATCATTCTCTGGACGGCGAACTGTAACTAGTGGGTGTTGGAGGGTTCAGTTCTTGGACCTCAACTATTTACAATCTACTAAATGATCAGCAAGCAGGGGCAGAGTGAAACATGGCAAAGTTCGTGGATGATACTAAAATAGGTGGGAAAGCAGGCAGTGATGAGGAGATAAAGAGTTTACAGATGGATATTGATAGGCTGGGAGAATGGACCAGAATCTGGCAGATGGAGTTTAATGTGGATAAGTGCCATTGCCCAGTTTGGCTGGAAAAATAAAAGGCATGGAGGGCTGAATTTCCTATACTTGATCCTAATTCCTATGTTTTCCCTGTTTTGTTCTTTATTTTACTCACTGAAGCTTCTTTGCACCAGTAAAGCTGGCTCAGAAAATCATCCAGCAATAGTCCCTCAATTTTGGCCATGGTGATAGACCCCCATCCAACTCACAGCTGGGAGCCAGCAGATGTCCAACGCCTTGGGTCTGCTTTATAAAGGGCTCAGGTAATGAGTTCTCGCTGTCTTGGCTCATTGCCTGCCACCAAGGAAGTCATCCTCAGTGAGACCCTCAGGGAGATTTACTAGCAATTCCCTGTGGGTCTTGTCGGGGCGGCCACACATTTGTTCTCATTGTTTCCCCAAAGTCCACTACCTACAGAGAGGTGAAGAAGTTTAGGAAGGAAATTCCAAGAGCATTGATCCAGAATGGTTGAAGAAACAGGCACAATTGTGCAAGAGACCAGAGATGGAGGAATCCAATCCCAGCTGGATTACAGCCTCGGGAGGAAATGGTCGGGGGGTGGGGTGGGGGGGGGGGGAGGGGGTACGGTTTGGTAGTCGTGTGTGAGGCAATGGCAGGATTTGAACACGAGGATATGAGCCTTCAAAGAATCTGTTCCTTTGTAAAACCAAATCTTCTATCCGTGTTTACAAAGTGGCAAAGTACAAAAAACAGATGAAGCCTTGATGCTCCTCCCTCCTTCACTCCTGGGGGGTGTTAGAAGCCAAACCTAGACTCAGCAAGAATCCGAACCAGAAAAGCTCCACTCAGAATGCATAACCGCACCTGACACTTTGATTTGGTCCCAATGCGCATCCCTTCACGAAGAAAATAAAGAGAGTCTCATTGCCGTGGGTGTGTTGCTTGGCAGCCATCAGGAGCGAGCGCTTTGCTTCATTTCCACATGTCTGATCTTTGAGGTGGTCCTCTGATTCAGGCCAACGTTTAAAGTTACTTCGCCTGTCTCAGAGGTGGTCCAAGACCCAGTGAATTCAATCCATCTGCTGTTGCTGCTGTTGGCTTCCAATCTCTCCCTCCATGTGTTTTCCAACACATCCTAGCTGGAGTACTTATCCGCCCTATCCAATCTCCACGGAATCTTTCCTCAGGGACGTGCTCAACCCTTGCAGCCATGTTGCTCATCCTTCGAACAGCCCGTCTTTAAGTAATGTTCTTTTAAATGCTCCTTTCCTTTCCCAAGAATCTTTTAGAAAACATGACTTTGGAAATTATTGTGCATTGCCCTGAAGGCAGTTTGATTCAATGGGATTAAGCTGTCAGCTGTAGCTCAGTGGGGAACTTTCTGGCCTCTCAGTAAGGATGGTTACAGCTTCAGTTTCTAAGAGCTAACCAGCTGGCCAAGGCTAATGTTCCTTAGGGCAGTAGTGGGGGAGAGCTACAGTGTCAGAGAAGCCTTCTTTGTCCCAAGACCCTATCTACTGTTTTGGGATTGAATGTGAATTACTGGATGGGGTAAATGCTCAGTACACTACCCCAGCATTTACTTCCCAACCCAAAATCACTAAAGCAGACTATCTGATAGGAGAACAATTGTCCTCAACTTTTTTGTTCGCTTCATTGCCTAGACATTTTCTCTTTGAGTTATACTTGAATTATAATTTAAGGTAAGGTGATGACCTCGCAGTATTATGGGTGAATTGTTAACCCAAAGACCCAAGTAATGTTCTGGGGACTTGGGTTTGAATCTTGCCATCACAGATAGTAGAATTTGAATGAAATAAAATATGGATTTAAGGGTCTAATGATGACCATGAATCCATTGTCCATTGTTGGAAAAACCCAAAGGCTCACTAATGTCCTTTAGGGAAGGAAACTGCCATCCTTACCTGGTCTAGCCAATGTGTGACTCCATACCCACACTAATGTGGTTGACTCTTACATAAGAACATAAGAACTAGGAGCAGGAGTAGGCCATCTGGCCCTTCGAGCCTGCCCCGCCATTTAATAAGTTCATGGCTGATCTTTTTGAGACTCAGCTCCACTTACCCGCCCACTCACCATAACCCTTAATTCCTTTACTGTTCAAAAATTTATCTAGCCTTGCCTTAAAAACATTCAGCGAGGTAGCCTCAACCGCTTCACTGGGCAGGGAATTCCACAGATTCACAACCCTTTGGGTGAAGAAGTTCCTCCTGACCTCAGTCCTACATCTGCTTCCCTTTATTTTGAGGCGATGCCCTCTAGTCCTAGTTTCACCTGCTAGCGGAAACAACCTCCCTGCCTCCACCTTATCTATTCCCTTCATAATCTTATATGTTTCTATAAGATTTCCCCACATTCTTCTGAATTCCGATGAGTATAATCCCAGTATACTCAGTTTCTCCTCATAATCCAACCCTCTCAACTCTGGAATCAACCGAGTGAATCTCCTCTGCACCCCCTCCAGTGCGAGTATATCTCTTCTCAAGTAAGGAGACCAAAACTGCACATAGTACTCCAGGTGTGGCCTCACTAGGACCCTATACAGCTGCAGCATAGCCTCGCTATTTTTAAACTCCATCCCTCGAGCAATGGCAGACAAAATTCCATTTGCCTTTTTAATTACCTGCTGCATCTGCAATCCCACCTTCAGCGAATCATGCACAAGGACACCCAAGTCCCTCTGCACAGCAGCGTGCTGCAATTTTTTACCATTTAAAACATAATCCATTTTGCTGTTATTCCGACCAAAATGGATGACCTCACACTTATCAACATTGTACTCCATCTGCCAGACCTTTGCCCACTCACTTAGACTATCTATATCCCTCTGCAGACTTTCAGTGTCTTCTGCACACTTTGCTCTACCACTCACCTTAGTGTCATCTGCAAATTTTGACACACCACACTTAGTCCCCAACTCCAAATCATCTATGTAAATTGTAAACAATTGCAGTCCCAACACTGATCCCTGAGGCACACCACTAGCCACTGACTGCCAACCAGAAAAACACCCATTTACCCCTACTCTTTTCTTTCTACTGGTCAACCAATCCTCTATCCATGCCAATACATTACCTGTAATACCATGGAACTTTATCTTATGTAGCAGCCTTTGGTGTGGCACCTTGTCAAATGCCTTCTGGAAATCCAGACACACCACATCCACAGGTTCCCCATTGTCCACCATGCAAGTAATGTCCTCAAAGAATTCCACCAAATTAGTTAAACATGACCTGCCCTTCATGAACCCATGCTGGGTGTTCCCAATGGGACAATTTATATCAAGATGTCTTGCTATTTCTTCCTTAATGATAGATTCAAGCATTTTCCCCACTACTGAAGTTAAGCTAACTGGCCTATAGTTACCTGCTTTTTGTCTACTTCCTTTTTTAAACAGTGGCGTCACATTGGCTGTTTTCCAATCCATGGCAACCACCCCAGAGTCCAGTGAATTTTGGTAAATAATTACTAGTGCATTTGCTATATCCCCCATCACCTCTTTTAGTACCCTGGGATGCATTTCATCAGGGCCAGGAGACTTGTCTACCTTTAGCCCCATTAGCTTGCCCAGCACTGCCTCCTTAGTGATAATAATAGTTTCTAGGTCCTCGCCTGCTATAACCTTCTTGCCATTAGTTTTCGGCATGTTATTCGAGTCTTCCACTGTGAAGACCGACACAAAATAACTGTTTAATGTCTCAGCTATTTCTTCATTCCCAGTTATTAAATTGGCCTTCTCATCCTCTAAGGGACCAATGTTTAACTTTGCCACTCTTTTACGATTTACATATTTATAAAAACTTTTGCTGCCTGTTTTTATATTCTGAGCTAGTTTACTCTCATAATCTATCTTACTTTTCTTTATAACTTTTTTTGTGGCTTTCTGTTGGCCTTTAAAGATTTCCCAGTCTACTAGTTTCCCACTACTCTGTGCTTTTTTGTATGTGTTTTTTTTTCAGTCTGATACTTTCCTTTATTTCCTTAGACATCCATGGCTGGCTCTCTCTTTTCCTATGGTTCTTCCTTATCACTGGAATATACTTCTGCTGAGCACTGTGAAAAATCGTTTTGAAAGTCCTCCACTGTTCCTCAATTGACCCACTATAAAGTTTTTGCTCCCATTCTACCTTAGCTAACTCCTTCATCATTCCTTCATAGTCTCCTTTGTTTAAGCACAGGACATAGGTACTGGATTTAACCTTCTCACGCTCCATCTGTATTTTAAATTCAACCATACTGTGATCGCTCCTTCCGAGAGGATCCCTAACTGTGAGATCATTAATTATTCCTGTCTCATTACACAGTACTAGATCTAGGATAGCTTGGTCTCTCGTAGGTTCCATTACATATTGGTGCTGCCATGACCGACCTGGTTTGACCAATCGATATGTAGATTAAAATCCCCCATGATAATTGCTGCACCATTTTTACATGCATTAGCTATATCTACGTTTATTGCCCGCCCCACCACAATGTCATTATTTGGTGGCCTATAGACCACACCTATCAGTGACTTCTTCTCCCTGCTATTCCTAATTTCCACCCAAATGGATTCAATGTTTTGTTCAGTAGAACCTATATCATCTCCCACTACCGCCCTGATATCATCCTTAAAAGTCAGAGCAACACCACCTCCCTTACCTTCCTGTCTGTCCTTCCGAACAGTTTGATACCCCTGGATATTTAACTCCCAGTCATGACCATCCTGTAACCATGTCTCTGTAATGGCCACTAAATCATACCCATTTGCCATGATTTGCACCGTCAACTCATCCACCTTGTTTCGAATGCTCTGAGCATTCAGGTAAAGTGCCCTTATGCCAGTTTTTGCACCTTCTTTTTGGGTCCTACTCCCTCCATTACTAACAGCTCTTGAGTTCTCCTTCCCTTTAACTTTTTTCCTAATTTTCAATGGAGTTGAAGCTTCCTCGTCACCTGCTAACCTGCTGCTTTGCCTTACATTAATTGTTATTCCCCCTCTACGCTCACTTCTTCCTTCCCCCCACTTACTAGTTTAAAGTTCTATTAACCATCCTATTTACCCTTTTTGCCAGAACACTGGACCCGGCCCTGTTCAGGTGGAGTCCATCCCAACGGTATAGATCCCTCCTGTCCCAGAACTGATGCCAGTGCCCCATGAAAAGGAAACCCTCTTTCCCACACCACTCTTTTAGCCACTCTCTTACCTGCCCTCTGGGCAATTTGGGATGGGCAATAAATGCTGACATAGCCAGTGACACGCTCATTTGTGATTGATAAAATATTCCAAAAATGTTGGGGAAGAATAGTTTTCGCTTGAATTTTCCATGGAAATACTTTGGCCAATCAGAGTTGACTTGCCAACCAATCAAAATCAAAGTTCTCAATCAGTATCAATTATTCTTCCTTTGAAATTTGGCATTCTTGCATCTGTCTTGATGAATATGAGAATGAAAAGCTTCAATTTTTCAATGATACTCAATATTTATCTGGTTAGTCCTCAATTATTATGTCCAAAAAGTATGTCATGGCTTTTGAGAGGGTGCAGAATAGATTTCCTGGAATGGGTTTCAGGAATGAGAGACTCCAGAGAAGTGGAAAGATCGCGGAAAGTGGGACTATTTTCCTTAGTCACTGAAATTCCAATCAAGTTTTCCCTCGAAGATCTTCCAGGAGAAAGAGAGCAAAATGGGAACAAAAGCCCAAAGATTGCAGTTTGGCCAGGGAATATATCAGTGCCAAACTTCACCAAGGTGATAAGTTTGAACCAAAACAAGGCATTAATAAGTAAGAGTGGGAGACCAATAGGGATTTTGGAACAAAATTTTGAAAACTAATAATTTTTCCAGGAGGTGCTAATGAGTTACAGCAGGGAGCAGGAGAATTACCTTGAGAAATTTTGTAGTCTATGAGTCCAAAAGTGTGAAATGAATAATTGCAAACTGATTTCTCAGTATACTTTTATTTCTATTGACCTGTTGTAACCTCGCAAGCATCAAAACAGGTAGACTCTTCCTCTCCATCTGTTTTAAAGATAATTTTCATGCAAAATATCATGTATTTCAGTGGTCACTGGGGGACTTCCAGACAGCATCAGTCATACTGAGGACAACAATATTACCATTGTCTGCCTTTCAACACAGCTCTTGTAGTGAGGAGTGTTATCGATGAGTGAGTGGAGGAAGTGGGATGTTGACACAAACTGGCTGACGATAGACTTTTCCAGATGTCTTTAGAACAAAGCCACACTTAAGCTGATGGGTGGAAGAGAATGTTTTTATCCCTTTTTAATGAAGTGTTTTAAGCTCTCCATCAAAGTTCTTCTGAGAGAGAGAGAGAGAGAGAGAAAGGAAATAAAACCTCAAATATTGCTGTTTGACAAAGGAATGTGTCAATGGCTATTCAAGATAGCAAAGGTGACAAGTTTCAACCAAAACCAGGAATAAGGTTAATGAAATAAGGTGTGATCCTGTGATCATAAAATGGTGTTGGGAGGGGTTTAATTTATTCTTAGGATGAGGGCATTATTGACTTGGCCAACATTTATTGCCTATCCCTGGATGCCCTTGAGAAAATGGTGGTGAGCTACCTTTCTGAACCACTGCAGTCCATTTGTTATAAGATCGACCCCCTGTGTAGCACAGAACAAGATTATTCAGCCTAGTTATGCTGTCCCATTCTTTAAGAAGAGCTTAGTTCCAATTCCCTGTTCTTTTCTGTGCCCGCAACTCATTCCTATCAAAGGGTATACCGAGGCATTAATAAATAAGAACCGAAAGAACTGCGGATGCTGTAAATCAGGAACAAAAACAGAAATTGCTGGAAAAGCTCAGCAGGTCTGGCAGCATCTGTGAAGAAAAAAACAGAGTTAACGTATCGGGTCCAGTGAGGAAGGGTCACTGGACCCGAAACGTTAACCCCATTAATAAATAATGGTGGGAGGCCAGTGGGAATTCTGGAACAACATTTGAAAACAGATCATTTTTTTCAAAAAGTGCTGATGAGTAACGGCAGGGAGAAGGAGAACTACTTTAGGGAAGTTAGGGGCGGCACGGTGGCTTGGTGGTTAGCACTGCTGCCTCACAGCACCAGGGACCTCGGTTCAACTGTCTGTGTGGAGTTTGCACATTCTCCCTGTGTCTGCGTGGGTTTCCTCCGGGTGCTCTGGTTTCCTCCCACTGTCCCAAAATGTGCAGGTTAGGCGGATTGGCCATGCCAAATTGCCCGTAGTGCGCAGGGATGTGTAGCTTAGGTGGGTTATAAGGGGATGGATATGGGTGGGATGCTCCAAGGGTTGGTGTGGACTTGTTGGGCCGAAGGGCCTGTTTCCACACTGTAGGGATTCTATGATATGATAGTCCCCGAGTTCAAACATGCACAATGAATAATAGCTGTCTGATTTTTCTGTGTACTTTTAGGTCTGTTGACCTATTGTAACCTCGCAAGAATCAAAGCTGGTAGTAAGTTACTAATGACACTACTTCCACTTGCTTTTCCGACACTGCATTCCAGATCGCAACTGTGTAAAATATTCTCATCTCCACCCTTGCTCTTTGTCCAACTATCTCTGATTACCAGTTTTCTTGCCAATGAAAACAATTTTCCTTCTTTACTTCATCAAAACACCTCCTGAATTTGGATGCCTTTAACTTTCTCTGGTCTCAGGACAGCAAATGTGGCTTTGTAGCTCTCCTCACCCCCACCCCAAGTTGAAGACCCATCTTCCAGACCTGCTATGGTTCTATTCAGTTCTTGTACTCTCCTCCTCCTTAAAATGTCCAGAGTTGGACAGAATAATTGAGCTAAGAACTATAGACAGTGAGTTAGAAAGGCTTTAGTGTGACTTCCTGCTGAGTACCATCCTCATCCTTCCAGCTATATAACACACTGTCAGGTGGGAGGAAGGCAGAAAGGGAAGCACAAAAAGATGAGAGAAGCAAGTGATGCCACTTGAGTCAGTCATCTGATGCATTTGTGAAGTTCTGTCCACACCTGGGTTTTCCCAGGGCTGACACTGCTTGCTTACATCTCTAATGTTGACAGAAGCTTTTCAGGCTTATTGCTGTCATTCCTCACCCTCGATACCAGCTGATTTCCTCCCAAATGGCACTTTCCACCCTCCAAGGAGATCAAACTTCCACCTTTTTAGATTGCAGTCAGTAGAAAAATAAAGATGCATAATTACATGTATTTTCTAATCAGCCTGCCCAGAGACATTCATATACACATCTGGAGCAGGCAAGCTTTAAACTCTGGTCTCCTTGCCACTGCACTACAAAGTGCCCCAGATGCACAATGATACCTCATCAACTCGGTCACTGGTGTTATTATTACACATCTCTAAAACAGTTAGGATTGAACCCAGGCCTCCTGGTCCAGGGATAGAGACATTACTACCATGCCACAAGCGTGGCGCATGATTATCACATCACATCTTCAATGCTTTGCAGGTGAAGACTTAATTTGCTGGGAGAGTAATAGCATAACCATTTTGTAACCAGTGGTGTGATGGTAATACCCCTGGATGAATAATCCAGAGACCGTGGAGAGAGGGATTCAAATCCCACCAATAGGGGCTGGTGGAATTTAAATTAATTTAGTGAATCTGGGATATATATTTTAAAAAAATGGCAGTCTTGATTATAGTGAGCATGTCTATTGTTTACTGGTGTAAAAATCAGGTTCTCTAACACTCATTCAGGAAGGCGATCTGTCATCCTTATCTACATGTGATTCCGAACCCAAAACCATGTTAATGTTTCTTAACGACCTTCTGAAATGGCCCAGAAAAGTACTCAGTTAAGGGCACTTAAGGGTGGGCAGCAGTGCTAGTCCAGATAGTGAAGCCAACATGCCAAAAAGGAAATAAAGAAACTGCGAATTTCAAAAATAGTAGGAACTGCAGATGCTGGAGAATCTGAGATAACAAGGTGTAG